CTCCGGGTTCAAGGGTTTAGAGCTTCACTCTGTCTTCCTGGAGCAGTCCTCTGACTGGAGATTCAGATTTTTCTATTGCTTCTGCTCAATGTCTAGAAAGACTGCTTGAGGTTGCATGCCACGTTAAGATTTCCTTACTATTATCTGTCTTTCTTTCTGCCTCTCTCTCTCATTCACACATACAGTGAAGGCACTAGAAGCACCAGGTAGCCAGAAAGAACCTCTGAAAGTGTAAAGGTGCTAGCTGCATAGTTTCTGGACAGGAGTAAGGTTCCAGGAATATCCTTAGTTCTTGACAAACAAGAGAATTCTCCAGTTTGGCTGGGTGAGGGGAATGTGCTAAGAGCCAGGCCCCATGTGAGTCTGGGGGGGGTCCAGATGCTGCCACCTTTGCAAACCCCAGCACATGCCCCCCACAGCAAGTGGAAATGCGTGCTGACCCTGACACATAAAAGGATGACCCCCAAATTCTCCTGTGCTTGAGAAAGAACTGATGTTGTCCTCTTCTCTTTGTACCCATGCCCCTCAACCTCCTGCTGAGACAGGAAGTTTGATAATGGCCACAGGCCACTGTCCTGTGGGAAGGAGGCCCCCACAGTTATCCCTTCACCAGCTGCAGCACTGGCACCCTTAAACCTGACAGCCTGGAAGACTGGGGGCAGGCAGTGATGGCTACCACTTTCCCTACAGACCAATCATGATTCAGTCTGGAGACTAACGGGCACCTGATCCAGACCAATGACTAAGGATAAAAAAAAAAAAAGGATCAATGCCTTTGAGTTGTGGTTCTGGAGAAGTGTCTAGAATATACCATGGACTGCTTAGAGAACAACAAGTTTGTCCTGAACGGGTGAAACCAGGCTACTCCTCAGAGGCAAAGATGCTGAAGCTCCATGAGACATACTTTGGGCATGCTGCAAGAAGGGACCAGTCCTTGAAGAGGGACATACATCATGCTTGGGAAGGTGGAGGGACGGCGCAGGAGAGGAAGACCCTGGATAAGATGGGGTGACTGGGGTAATGGGGGTAGGAGTGTCAGAGAAAATGAAGTTAGCTCAAGACAGAGCAGGGTTCAGAGCTGTTGTATAAAGGGTTGCTATGAATCAGAGTCGATTCAACAGCACATAACAATAACAACAACAGCTTGGGTGCACCCTAATTCCTTATATCCCAGCAAGTGGAAAACTCCTCCATCTAAGTAAATCCTATCAGTGTAATTACCCAATTACTCAAATTCTGGGTGGATACAGGGGAAAACCAGCCAACCGAAAAACCACGATGCGCAACAGCAAAACAAGACTTTAAAAACGAAATTGTAACAAAGGTCCTTTTTATTCCTTATCGACCCTCAGTGCTAACTGCACACACTCCTAATCTAGCCTTTCATTCAGCAAGCTGTTTGCTGTTTTGTATTTTTTTTAAAGCACTGAACTAAACCACCAGGGAATCTAAGAAACGCTGTAAGAACATTATGGTGTTAGCAACAATTGCCAAGGAAACTGAAGGCTGAGAGCTCAGGTTGGTGCAGGGGAAGCAAAGACCAAAATCATCTCCACACAGCCGGCCTGAACATGCACACACACACTGAAGACACATGAATTCTAGGCGATGCAAAATTAAATTAGGATAGAATCAAATTAAACACTAATTTAATGAAAGATTAGCTTTTCCTTGTTAGCACTGATTACCAACCCGAACCAAACCCACAGGCAGTGAAGTTGATTCAGTGCTGATTACAGGATACACTTAATTACGCAAAAGCTTTTTAATAGATGCCTTGGAGCCATTTGCTCAATGTGTGAAGTTTAAAGGGGAGTTTGGCTAACGGCCTTCCACCTCCACAGTTCTCAGAACACATCACTGTCTTCAGTGGGATATTCACTTTGCAGCAGCGTGGCGCTGATAAGGACCTGAGAGACCAGACTATCTGGGCCTCCTACTATACAGATGGGAAAACCAAGGTCCCAGAGGGGCCAAGTGGCCATGTGAGTAGTATATAAAAGAATCAGGCCATAGACTTCCAAAATCTTTCCCTCCGCACTATGCTAATTTAATTTCCCAGAGACAAGTTAAGTTTCTAAGTCAGTATCACAATTTGTTTTAAAATTCTGAAAAAGCTGTTTTGGGGAAATAAAGACTTCTCAAACTGCCTGACCCTTCAATTTTTTTTTTCTAAAAGGTATGTAAAGAAGATTAATTTTAAATCAAATAGATTCATCCTTGTGACAGGTAAGACTTGATTACTTGTGACAGGTAAGACTTGATTACTTGGCTCACTTGTACTATAAAGAATTTGAAAAGCAGGGGGTCTGAGGGCCAATCTGGCCCAATTCTGAGGAGGAGGCAAGCAATGGTAGGGCAGGAACTGAGCAGGAACACAGCACCTAAGTCTTGCTTGAGTTTCTCCATAATTGCCTCAAAACACAATTTCTGCACTCATGTCCTGGAATCCCTCGGGCAGGAATTGCATTTCCCAGCCTGTGCTCTACACCACCTTGTTTCCCTCATGGACTCTTACTACACAGCTCAGAGGCCCAGCTTCTAACAGCCTCATGAACCACGTAGGCTGTGAGCTTTATTTATTGATTTTCCTGTTTGCAGCAGGGATGAGGGAGGGGAGGAGTCAAAACATGACCTTACCTGCCCTCCTACCACAGCTGTGTGGTGCTGGCTAAGAAGGTTCCCCTTTCCAGGCTCCCTGGTTACTCTGGACCCAAGCCAGCTCTCTAATTTGACTTTTTTTAAAAAATTAATTTTAATGAACATTCACAGATACTTTGGATTTCCATTCATTCATTATTGCATTTTTCTCACTGCCCCCCCATACGCTCTTCTCTTTGAAAAGTAAAAGAAAAATTCTTTCATTGTTATATAATCCCTCCCCCTCAAGGCCACTCCACTGTGCAGCCTTTATTCTGGACTCCTGTCATGATAATAATACCTAATCATACGTCCCTTTTAAACAGTTCTCTCCCTTATCTGTTTCAATGCAGTATACATTATTTGTCCCCTCTCAATCTCCCCTCAACCCCAATGTCAGTCCCGTTTTCCAATAGTGGCACCATGCAGTATTTGTCCTTTTGTGACTGAGATATTTCATTCAGCATAATGTCCTCCAGGGTCACTCGTTTCGAATAATATTTTATGAGTTCTTTGTTTTTCACTGCTGCATAGTATTCCGTTGTGTTAATATACCAGAGCTTCTCTACCAATTCGTTTGTTGATGAGCACTTGGGTTGTTTCCAGCTCTTTGCTATTGTGAACAAAGCCACAATGAACATGGGTGTGCATAATTTGACTTTTAATGTCATTTTGGGTATGATTCGTGCCAGGTGACTGGCAGAGCAGGGGGAGAGCCTCCCTCCAACCCTGGACAATGATCAACAGGAAGACACCTGTAGTCAAGCCATCCTCTTCATGTTGCCACAGGCCACTCCTGCTAAGATGGCCCCAGCTGCTTTGGTCATCTGCCATTGAGCTAGCCCTTACTTGTGACCCTTATGCAACACGGAGTAAAATGCCACCTGGCCCCGCCACCAGCCCCATGGTCAGCTGAGGCTCACCCATAGGGTTTTACCAGCCCATTTTCAAAAGTGGACGCCAGGTCTTGTCTTAGCTTGCATTAGTTTCGAAGCTCCACTGACACTAATACTGCATCACACAAACAGCACACAAGTCTCCACTGATAAATGGACAGGAGTGCTCCTGAGGTGCACTTGGTGGGACTAGAACCTGCAGTGTTCAAGACAAGAACTCTAACACAGAATCACCGCTGCCCACATAGAGGCTGTGTATGTTTTAAAAATATATTAAAGACTTCAAGAGGGAGTCTTTATCTCTAGAATAATGTTGGTGATGCGATTCATGGACCCTGAGTGGCTACAATCAGACCCCAGGCCCATCTGCACTCACTCTGCTCCCTATTCCCACTAGGCGCAGCCTATGGACAATACCTAGAAGCTAGGAATGAGCTCAAGGTGGCGCTCACGTCTGTAGACCAAGTCTACCCTCCACATCAGCGCCTCCAGGCTCAAAGGAAGAGGCATGCGAACTCCTCACTGGAAGCCAGAGCACTTGGGCTGCAGAAGAGCTGACACGGGTGAATTGGACGCAAACCCTCCCAGAGGGCCTTCTCCCCAGCTGTCAGCCTCGTGCCCAGGAAAGCCTTTCTTCACCCTGTCTGCAGGGAAAGGTCCCCACACTGCCCAGCACAGGGCTGTGGTGAGAATTCAAGGAGACTGAGTAGGTGAGCACGTCCTTACCCATGTGAAGGGGGGCCTGCAAGGGTGTAGAGCCCCAGATGGAAGAGGAACACCTACCAAGTGGATATCAAGATAGCTCAGCAACTGCTGTCCCCAGAAAGACGCCCAGCCAGCCGCCTGGCCTGAGGAAGCACTCCCAACCACCCTGTCAAGTTTCCTCAGGGGCGGGCTGTAAAGAGACATCCTGGTGTCCTGTTGCTGAGAACAAAGTTCAGGATGAGGAATCTCGGTGCTGTTTCTGGGGAAAGAGCAGAGCGGCTCTTCTTCCGTTCAGTAGCAGCTTATGAAGTAAGAACGTATATAAAGGAAACTGCCAAGGGGGAAAGTCCCAAATAAACCCACCAACTGGGCTCAGGGATTGGCTGCTGAAAGCCAGTCAGTGGGCACCTCGCTGCTAACTCACCATCTGTGACAAACCCCTCGTCACTGACAGCACAGGAGCAGCACTTTGCTTCATTGCATGCGGGTGCTCAGAAGTCAGGGTCCAGTCCACGGCTCCTAACAACAGCAATTAACAGCTGGGACTTAAGAGTCTTCTCTTCCTACTGGTCCTTGGAGCCGAGGATCCACACTAGAAGTGTGTTCCACAGTCCCTGGGGAGTTGACTCTCATTGTGGAATTTAATTCTGCACGTTAAGAATTTGGAAAAAAACCCAAAAAACCAACCCACCCAACTTTTGCGAACATCTTGCACCGCAAACAGCTTGCACATACTTAAGTGCCATGGTGAGACATTACCTCCGCAGCGGGGCATTCTCCTCAATATCTTCCAATGTCTCCAGGGAAGACCTCTGAGAGATAAGGCGCCGTCTGCAGAGAAAAGGGAAATTAAAAATGAGTTAAAAGTGCACTTAAAGATTATCATGTATTTCTGAAAACCTGAAACAGTTCTAAAAGGCAAGGGCCATTAAAAGCAATGAGGGTTGCAGAGTGGAGTATACTCGGGGTGGGGGCGGAGGGGTGCAGGGGGATTGTGTACCAATGAAGGAGTTTTTCTTTTGCTTTTCAAGGAGAAGAGCGACCTGGGGGTGGGGATGGGGTGGGTGGGGAGAAAAATGCAACAATTAATGAATGGAAGTCCAAAATCTCTGTACATATTCAACAAAATTATTTTTTTTTAAAAATAAAAAATCTTGTTTGACATATAAAAAAACAAAAACAACAAATGGAAGCTGTCCTTGACAGAATGCTGGGTCTTCACCCTGCAATTACCACCAGGCTGTATCTCTTCAGTGCAACATCTCTGTGTGGTGGTCAGGGGAGTCACTGGCCCTCTTAATGCTGTGGTCTCCCCAAGAGACAAGGTGCTTCTTGTGAACTGTAGTATAACTTGCATGTTGTGTAAAGCTTTTCTTAAAGTATTATGCCATGTTGTTGCTGTTGATTGTCATTGAGTTGAGCATGACTCATAGTGACACGATGAACAAAAGGTCTGAAACCTTTCTATAACTATTGACAGTTACCAGAGTTTCCAGAGGCATGTTGTTTAGGAAGTGGATGCCACTCCTGCTTCTAAGCCATTATGCCATACAGTATTATAAATACAATGATATAATGTATTTAAATATAATGATCTGAACTGTTGTTGTGTACCACAGACTTGAAACCGACTCATAGCAGACCCTCCAGCAGGATTTCAGAAGCAGTTAATCGCATAGGAGGAGATTGCCCGTTCTTCTCTTGTGGAGCTGCTGGTGGTCTTGAACTGCATACCTTTAAGACTGCAGTGCAGCTGCTTGCCACTAGGCCACCAGAGCTCCTGAGAAATGAAGACAACTGAGAAACTAAGTAGACAATTTAAAAATGATGTTTCAGAGAAATCTTCGAAGGCACTCAAGAAGACTCACTGCCGCTCAGTCAGAAGTGACTCACAGCTGACTCTCCAAGCTGGTTCCTGACGCTGTAAATCACACGGGAGGAGACTGTCTGTCTCTCTAACGAGGAGCCACTCACTGGTGAATCCGAAGCAGCAGGGAGGTGCAGCTTTGGGATCAGCAGCGAAGCTCCCAACAGACCACACCACTAGAGCTCCCTTAAAGTCACAGGGATAAAAGGAATATGAGAGCTACATGACAGCATTCAATGCTGTTAATTGGCTTTTTCTGCATCTAGATGATTTCAAAAACAGCTAGAAATTATCCTGTTGGAGAGTTCTTAGTGACCAAAAAGAATAAATAATGCGGTAAGATTTTCACCTGCCCACCTCAATCTCATTTCTTTGGCGTGACTGAAATAAGAGTGTTGTTGGGCTCTGTCAAGCAAGTTTTCAACTTTAGTGACTCCATCTGACAAAGCAGAAGTGTTACAGGTTTTATAGGCTGTAATCGCAGGGCATTTGGTCTTTCATGGAATCCCCATCTAAGTTCACCAAATGCCAAACTTTGATTAACAGCAGAGCACTCAACCATAGTGTGACTATCGTTACGTGCCTTCAAGTAGGAACTGACTCACAGTGGAGCCTCCAGTGGGTTTTCAGAGGCTATGTATGAATCACACAGGAGATTGCCCATGTGTCTCCCAAGCAGCAGCTGGTGGATATTAACTGAGTGCCTTTGGGATGGCAGCACAGCTCCTTATCCACTAGGCCATCAGAGCTCCCTTCCTGTATGACTGTTATTGCTGTTACATGCCATGGAGCCAACCAAGACTCAAAGTGACCTGTGAATAACATACCTGGAAACTACCCTATGTTGCACCATCCTTATCATTCCTTGTATACTGGAGCCCAACGTTCCAGCCACTGTGTCCACCCGCCTTGTTGAGGGTCTCCTTCTCTTTTGCTGACTCTCCATCTTTCCAAGCATCATATCCCTCTCCAAAGACAGGCCTCTTCTAAACACACGCCCAAAGTAGGTGAGACAGAGTTTCATCATCCTTCCCTCTAAGGAGCACCTTGGCTACACCTTCTCCAAGACTTATTTGTTTATTCTTTTGGCAGTCCAGTAAATATTCATTGCTATTATCCAACACATAACTCAAAGGCATTGGTTCTTCTCCTATTATGCTCAGTCAGTGTCCAGCCTTCTGATGCATAGGAAACAACAGAAAAGTCCACGACTTGGATCAGGTACACATACCTTAGTCCTCAAACTGATGATGCTTCTCAGAATCTTGAAGAGGTCCCTTACCTCAGACTTCTCTAACACTACATTATTTCTGATTTCCTTTTCCCCCCAATTTATTTTTTAAATTTTTTTATTATTGTTGTTAATTTTAATGAAAATTTACAGAGACTTTGGATTTCCATTCATTCATTGTTGCACTTTTCTCCCTGCCCACCCCTCTTTCCCCAGTTCACTTTTCTCTTTGAAAAGTAAAATTCTTTCATTGTTCTAAAATTCCTCCCCCCCCTTCCATCCCACTATGCAGCCTTCGTTCTGGACTCCTGTCATGACAATAACACCTAATCACACATCCCTTTTAAACAGTTCTCTCACTCATCTGTTTCAATGCATTATGCAGTCTTTATCCCATCTTTCTCAGTCTCTCCCCAACCCCGATGTCAGTGGCACCATACAGTGTTTGTTCTTTTGTGACTGAGATACTTCACTCAGCATAATGTCCTCCAGGGTCACCCATTTTGAATACTATTGCATGAGTTCCTTGTTGTTCAATGCGGCGTAGTATTCCATCGTGTGAATACACCACAGCTTCTCTATCCATTCGTTTGTTGATGGGCATTTAGGTTGTTTCCAACTCTTTGTTACTGTGAATAAAGCTGCAATAAACATGGGTGTACAGATACCTGCTTAGGTGGCAGTTATGGTTTCTTTAGGGTATACTCCCAATAGTGGAATTGCTGGGTCAAATGGTGTTTTAATCAGGAAAGGGTGTTGAATTTTGTCAAAGGCCTTTTCTGTATCAATTGATAGGATCATGCGGTTCTTGTTCTTTGCTTTGTTAATGTGATGAATTACATTTATTGTTTTTCTTATGTTGAACCATCCTTGCATACCTGTTACGAATCCTACTTGGTCATGGTGAATGGTTTCTGATTTCTTGACTGTTGTTGTCAAGGGTTTTCTTTTGGATCCTAGTAAGATGAAATCACTAACTACTTTAATATCATAATATTGCCTATTGGCCCATTAGTAAGTATTTTTGTTTCCTTGATGCTGAAATGTAATTCGTACTGAAGGCTGTAGTCTTGGTCTCCTGTAATAAGCATTTCAAGTCCTCCTTGCTTTCAGCAAGCAAGGCTGTATCATCTCCATACTGCAGGTTGTTGATGGATCCTTGTCTCATTGATTTTCTCTGCATAGGTATGGAGAGATGACTATTCTTAATTTTAAAGCGTGCAGTGTTTCTCTGCTGTTTGGACAATGGCTTCCTGGTCAAAGTTTTGCATTAGCACAATCAAGTGTTCTGTGATTGCCATTACTCTGAATGTTATCCACAACTTGTTATGATCCACACAATCAGATGCCTTTGCATATACAGTATGTGTATCTATCTATCTATCTATCTATCTATCTATCTATCTATCTATCTATCTATCTATCTATCTATCTCTATCTCTCCTTCTGATATTCCCTGCTTTCAGCCAAGATCTAGCTTACATCAGCTATCATAAAGTTTGTGTCACAGTTTCTTCTAAATCAAGCTGTTACTGTTATGTGCCATCAAGTTGCCTGCAACTCATAATGACCCTTTGTACAATAGCTCTGAAGCCTGCCCTATCCTGAGCCAGTCTCACTGACTCCAAAACACCTAATCCCATTGCCCAGTATCAATCCATCTCATCCAGGGTCTTCCTCTCTTGTGACCTTCCCTCCACCCTTCCAAGCAAAACATTCTTCTCCAAGGACTGGTTCCTCCTGACTATGTGCCCAAAGAATGTGAGATGGAGCTTTAAAATCCTTGTCTTCAAGTAGAAACTTGATTTCACCCTCTCCAGGACAGAACTATTTGTCTTCTTGGTGGTCCATGGTATGTTCAAGACTCTTCACCAGCACCACAATTCAAAGGCATAGATTCTTTTTCTAACATTCTTAATCACTGTCTAGCTCTCTGATGCACAGTAAGTAACTGTGAAGACTATCGCCTGGATCAGGCACACCTTAAATCTCTAGACTGACATCATTGTTTTCTAGCACTTTGGAGAGGTTCCTGACAGCAGATTTTTCCAATGCAATTTGTCTTTAGGCTTCTTAAAATAAGAATCGGTGCTGAAAATTTCTGGCACAGGCTGCAGGTGGGGGTGGTAGTTAACTTTAAAGTGAAAGAATTTGAAACAAGGACTGTCATTTCCTAATAAATTATTTGGAGGAGTGAATTTATAAATAATTTGACTAGGTGTTTAGCTTTGAAAAACACCAAAGAGACTAAAATTATGAAGATAAGTCTATTTTATATCAGAACATATAACTAAAGCCAAGCTCTAATTCTCAGCAGAATAAAAAGAACTGTATCTTTGTTGGGGGTTTAGTTTTCTGACCAATTAATATTGACACTTGCTGCTTCATATCCCCTTTATAAGGCAGTCAGAAAGGTCTATTTTGCAAACTACTCAAAGGCTTTATCTATTTTCCCAGAGCCTTTATTTTTTAATGTTCTCAGTTTCACGCCCTTTTTACATCATCCATCGCATTAGTCGGGGAAGACAGAGGCATAAACAATCATTTTGAACTTCCCCTGCAAACATAACAAGAAATACAAGAACACTGTGCTCAGCTCTGAGGAATTCTGGGTCAGGAAGCAGCAAAGAACAAGCCTCTAAACCAAGAGGAGTGACGTCCTGGGGAGTCAGTTCTGCCAAGTCAGCTTGCTCCTGCTTTTCAGTGAGTCCTGAGGATGGCTGACGGAGGCTG